TCCAGAACACTTCCTTTCCTCCGTTCGATCTAATATTCTTTTAAAAGCAGCTTGTAATATTTTTTTTATTTTTGCATCTTCCAATGCCTTTTATAAGTATTGACAAATCCGACTTACTCTCGCATCACTTGAGTGTATTTCTAGGTGATTTTTTTGCGGAACCCTAAGTTTTTTTTCATAAAATAAAAGTAGCGTAAGTTACTCCTTATAAGTCATCTGCCAGTGAAAATCCCATCAAAATCCGTCCAGCGATTTCGCAGATTAGCCGGAACAAACAGACAGGTAAAACATAAAAAAATGTGTTTTTCTTATAAGTACCGTATATAATTTTATATGCATTTAGTAAAAAACTTTTATTTCGGCATTACAAACAAACACTTCAATTTTATTTATTTGTATAGATGTGAAAATAGCGATGTTATACCTCTTTATTCTCTATATATGTAGATAGCACTAACAAAGAGGCTTTCTCAGGAAATTGAAGTATGTAATTTGTTAGGGATTTGTATTCTATTTATAGCAAAGAGCAGAAATTGATGTTAAAAATTACAAATAAAAAACAATAGCTAAAGCAATACTGTGAATACTGTCTTTAGAATATTCATTTTCTTTTACCTCAATGAAGGTGAATAAATCCTTCATGGGCTTTACAAAAATTTTAAGATAAAATTAAAAATATTTTACTGAGCAAAGCGTATTATACTGTTCAAGAGTTTCTTGTTGATGGAAATGTGTGGAATTGAGTGATATTGACTCATATGCAGGCTATTTATAATGTTATGTTAATGAAATAAATATAACCTCTATATTTAAAAGAGCAAATGTTGAGTTTCTCGCTGGTTCTTCTCAGCAGAACTGCTTTCCGAGTCGGTGGTAGCTTCCTCACGGACTGATTACACTGACGCTTTCATTAAATAGACGATTCAAAAGTACTTGTAATAAGTCTAATTGAATAAATTTTATTTCATTTCATTTCAAAGTGCGGCTATGGTTATTAGCCACACGCCAGTGGTGGACTAAAGGGGGCCCGTCCCGGGTTTCTGGTCCTGGGGGGCCTCCAAACGCCTCCTTGTTCCCTTGATCAAATCCTAAACATGCATGTACGTGCCACCAATACGAGTGGAAGAAATGTTCTAATCTATACTAATATTATAAAGAGGCAGAGTTTGTTTGTTTAAACGCGCTAATCTCAGGAACTACTAATCCTATTTGTTTATTAATTAAAAATCATATTCGATCTACAATGAATCAAGAGCGATTCTTTTCTTACGACTCGACTGCTTTTATTTCAAAGAAAAGTTTCAAAAGAAATTTATTGCACTGAAGTTATTGCGGAGTTTAGTAAAATGAAGGCACGAAAATACATATAATATGCTATAATTGTACATACTTACTGAAAATAAAAACTACCTTTAATTGATTTTTACTCTCTAAGTTTTATGACTGCTGAAAGAAAAAATGTAATGCCGAAAATTTGCATATCTTTTTGAGAAATTACCATACAGTACTTTCTTTAATTCAAACGATATTTTTTCAGCGTATATATATAGAAACAATGAAAGAAAACTCGCGGTAAAAAGTATCCTCTATCTTGACCCAGATAACCAGCAATAGTCATACTATCTAAATCTGTCCATTGGTTTTCTCGTGATGCGGTCACAGACAGACAGATAGACAAAAATTCTAATAACTATAGATTCGGCCACTGTATCGATAATAATGACTATTTTAATCAGATTTTCCAAAAAATAATTAATATACAGATTCGACTGAGAATTTTATTATATGTATAGGCTATCATTGTAATATTTTTTGGCGTTTCATAGACTATGAAAAGTGAAATTTAATAACTTTATCCATAGATGGCGTTAGTGTGTGTAAAGCATTTAATCCACTAGATTTATTATTTTTTTTGATCAAATTTCTCAAGTTGCTATATGGCAAATGCATTTGAAAGAAAAATCTATTTTATGGATTTTAACTTAGTTCAGGTGAAAAATAAGACTGCTTGTCCTTTGTTGCTATTCACTTTTTCCATTCTCTTTTTTATTCACTTTCAAACGCGTTATGTAGTAAATTATTTATATGTATATATTTAATATAAGATGTTGCCATATAATGTATATTATGTATCTATCAATATAGAAGAATATAATATATGTTTGTGCCTACATAATTTACCAGAAGATACAAAAAATGGAATCTTGAAATTTGAGTACTTTTCTTTGGATAGATTTTACCGTAATTATGTTGTCGTTAGAATAACCTTATAGCAAATGCATGTAATTTATAGTGTTCAAAGATTTTCAATGCTTTTAATGTTTCTTGTTCTATGTAATATATGTATGTAAAACATAAGATCCAATATAATTAAAGCTTCGTTTATTAATATATTTTTATTTAATCTATTGACTCCACTGGTTCACGAACCTAAAGAACAGTCTTATTTATACGCCATCTGTTGATACATCGCGGAACTGCTATTCATTATGACTTTATAATCCAGGAGGCAACAGCTATATTATATTTGTTTTACAATGAATCTTGCATGTTACTGTTTAAGTACTGAATCGAAAACGTCTAAATTAAAATAAAATGTGAATTTTTAAACGTATTTTCTTATGGAAAGTTAATTTTTTTTAATTTGCTTAATCTTAGGTAAAATATTTACTATATGTGCATTTTATAAAAATAAATTATTTTTTTCTAATTGCCAGTTCATGCGTTTGTATCTTTGAACTGGATATTCATAGATTCGATGCGATTTGCAGCTACGCTATAATTTAGAGGTCTTTTCTTAAAATATTTATTATATTTTATAAATGTATCAAATATTAGAGAAGATGCAGTTTATAAGCTTTGTGTTTAAGTTTTTTATTAAATTTCACTTTAAAGTGGAAAAATCCTATGGCACCTATCCTATCCCATAGTATGGTGGTATATTTTACCTATGAAGTAAAGCGTTACCTTAATAATAATTATTTTTTTCCTGCTATATTGAAAGCACGAATCAATATGAGAATAAAGTTTTTTATCTTTGCATACATTGTCATTATAATTTCTTATACAGAGCCATCTATCGAAAGTTCCAAGAACTAAGTAGTTTATTTAATCCTACAGTTAGGAAAATACCGTCGTGTTGGTCAAAATTTAAAAGGCGCTACATTGACCAACGTATATAAGTAAAAAAATCATTATCTATTTTTGCCAAAATGGGGTTCAATTCGATTCATGATATTTTAGCTCATTGTTTATAACCAATCTTACTTAATTTTTATTACTGATATTGCAGAAAAATTCGATTCCAGAAAATTTTATATCATTTCATACCAGTTTTTTTTAATTTAGTTAAGTTTTCTTTTACTCAAAAAATTGAAAAAAATTTTGTGTCATGTTAATTTAGAAAATATATGTATATCTTACAGATACGACAACATGCGATAAACGGCTTTAACAAAAATAACAAGGTTATTAAGGTAATCAAAAACAGACATTTAATTCAAAAAAATGCATTTATTAAAATCAACAAAAAACTAAAACTTATATCGAGGATAAAATGTAAAATTGTGAAGCAAATATTATTTTTTGAGTGAACGTGAGATATTAAAGCTGCGAAAAAATCTCATATATGACAGTCAACTAAATTTGGTCGGGTTATATATACCATATTAATTGTCAACCAATTAAATAAGGCCTAACCCACAATATTTAAAATTTAAAAAAAAATCATTAAATCTATATTTTTATACATAATATATGAATAACAATTTCGTCATAGTGCTATTTGCAAATATCTTGACCAATAATAATTGATCGCGTAATAACATACATTAATTGTGATATATGTTTTAAAAATTCTTCTAGATGGCGCTGTTTAAAATTAATTTAAAATAAATTTTTAAAAGAAACATTTTGTTCTACTAAAATAATTGAACGATTTACAAATTATATTAGACTCACCCTCGTTTCACTCGGGTTCGTCCTTAGTGAAAAACAAATCTAGCCCACGGGAACCGTACATTTTCCGGGATGAAAAGTAATCTATGTGCTGTTTCAGACTATAATCTATCTCTGTGGCTAATTTCATCCAGATTCGTTCAGCCGTTCTGGCGTGATTGAGTAACAAACATCCATCCAAACTTTTACATAAAACGTGGTCAAGTCAAGATAAATTTTATATTTCGACTACAATCGTTGGCCGTCCTTATAAATTTTAATATGTAATATATAATAAATTATTATAATAATAATATATAATAAATTTTAATATCTAATTATAATTATAGTGTATATAATTATTGTAAAAGGTGTCATATTTTTAATTTTAAAACATGTCCGATAAACGTGTATATTTCTCTTTAATAATAGAAACCACTTCGAAACCACTAAACTGATTTATATGAAATTCGGTAAGAACATAGTTTGAGACTCTGGGAAGGACATAGGATAGTTTTTATCCCAGAAATCATCCCAGGGGTGAAAATGGGGATGAAAGTTTATATGTGGAAGCGACCTAGCCACGAAACCGAGCGGAGCGAGAGTGAGTCGCTAGTATAAAATATACGAGAGCAATACTGCGGGTCAGAGCTAGTTTTGTACAAGTAAAACTGGTTAATAAAAACGCCAATATATCCTTATACAAAAATAACTTTAAAATCAATCATAAAACATTTAGTCCATATTGGAATGTAAAACTATATAATACAATAATATAGTATGTTTGTTCATTTATAAAAATACACTTACTTTGTAATACATTTTACAATACTGATAAAATCGATTTAAAAAAAATCATTTATTGCTAAAAAAAATTGTGAAACTTGTAAAGAGAATTAATCAAAGTCTAATATAATTATAATTAATGCATAAATAAAATTAATGGAATGACGAATATCGATTTCATTTTTAATGAGAAAATCGATACATAAAATTGATTTAAATATATCTATCGATACGAAATCGATTAAAAGATTGATTTATTATCAATCTAGTGAAACCTAACTTTGTGATCCTCTTTGTCTCCATGCCGAATGAAAACCAGCGGCAGAATCGGAATCGGAATCGCCATCTTCATTAGCACCCATTTGAGCTCGAGGCTGGAATTAAATAAATATCTTGAATGTAGATATCACACTATACTAAAGTGACATTTAACGAATAACTTCATACTGTAAAAAAAACACTTTCATTATTTTAAGATGACGACGACACGTTTGGCTCAGTTTGTAGTGACCCTACTTGCTGTGCCAGCGGTCGCGGGTTCGAGTCCCGCTGGGGGCATTCATTTGTGTGACGAGCACGAATGTTTGTACTCCAGTCATGGGTGTTTATATTTATATTTATAATATGTATGTATTTAAAATTATATATGTGTAGTGTATCAACTATCCGGTATCCATAACACAAGCGTCGTAGCTTACCATGGAACTAGATGGTGCAGTGTACCAACATATTATTATTATTATGTAGTGACCCTACTTACTGTGCCAGCGGTCGCGGGTTCGTTTGTTTGAACGCGCTAATCTCAGAAACTAATAATCCGATTTGAAAAATTCTTTGTGCATTAGATAGCCCGTTTATTGAGGAAGGCTATAATGTCATATATAGGTTATATGTCTTATAATATATAGTCTATCTATTCCATACTAACCATTAAAACGTACCTAGGGACGAGCCCGAGCGAAGCCAGGGTGAGCCACTAGTTATTATTATATATTATTATTTATTATGTGTTAGTTTAGAACTGCATGCTTTATTTCTCATTTTATTTTAAACTATTTGGGTTATTTTCTTTAATTTGATATTGGATTAGAATTTATTTTTTGTTTTTATTTATTTTTACTTTATGTATTTTTTACTTGTGAAAACTGCTTTGGCTAATATATATATATATATATGTTATTAATTCTATTAATATGTAATATAAAAGCTAAAAAGAAATGTGTTCCTGAACAAACAAATAAACAATACCTGATCAGGTGTAGACGGTGTGCTTCTACTGTGCGAGCCCACACCACGTCTCCCATTTGCTCCACGCCTTCTCACTTTACTGCTCATGGGCGGAGGCATCAGCTTATCATCCTTCTGAAAAGAATTTTTCCAATAAATAAACACATCATACTGTAGTCGCCGAATAAACCAATACACCAATAGAGTATGACAATATATGTTAAATTAATTTTGTATGTAAACCTGTCTCTCCCGCGATCATGATCGCTGTAAAGCATTCAAAACGTAGGGAACCAAAAATCGAAATAAATCCGCAAAATAATCCGAAAAAATTGTTTTCATTAGTTTTGTACGTCTGTTAAATATGATGGTCACATGCAATATTTGACATTTAAAATGGGATATTTACCACGTTTTAAGTTGAATTTTGAGTTTTAAATTATTTGATCAAAAATCAAAATTATTTTTGGTATATCTAAAAATACCTATCAGATACGTCGTCTGTGTGTTTGTTCTATTTAGGGCCTATTCACACAGTTGTATATCATGAATGTAGTATATTGCCAGCATAATATAATGATAAACTTTAAAAAATGCCAATTGCTTAAGTTATTATCGGTATGAATGTATGGAAAGCGGTAAATAACAGCACGTTAAAGGGTCATGGTAGGCATATATATGGCTTTAGCTACCACTTAGCCTGACTTAAATGTATGAGAAATCAACGGAAACCAAATTTATTCGCTAAGCATTTTCATATAAATATAGTCGCAAATATAAAAAATATATTTCGCATAGCAACAACATAACCATAAAAATATTTAAAAAAATAGACAAATATTCATCGATCAAAAAAGTACTAGATACAAAATCCCATGCAAAAGTTCTCTATAAACTGTCACCGATTGTGTTTAGGTGTTTATTCTAGTTGAAATATATATACAACAATGTAAATTGGACCTTAACTGCAATACTTAAAATTTACACAAAGAAAATGCGCGCTCAAATGTTGAAATGAGCGCCCATTCGATGAGGACGTTTTTGTCGCTGAATGTGTATCTAGTATTTTTTTAATCGATGTAAATATTACATATCTGCACATTCGGCCATTTAATTGTCGCTATTTCTTACAAAACCACAACATTAAAGAAAAAAAACTTGTCGCTTCAGCCTACACTATAAGAAACCTTCCGATAAATCCCTGATATTTCAGACAAACAGACAGAGACATAAATGTACTCAGCCCTTTTTAATAGCCCACGACCGGGGGTGGGCCTTCCTTCAATATGAGGGGGATCAGGCCATAGTCCACGTCGTTGGCCAAGTGCGGGTTGGCGGACTTCACACGTCTTTCGAAAACTTGCTAAGTTCTCACAGGCATGCAGGTTTCCTCACAATGTTTTCCTTCACCGTAAATCAAGTGGTAATCATGTTGGAAATGATTCGCAAATGAAAATATCACAGGTGCGAGACCCGAATTGGAACCCGCTTCACTCGATTTTCGAAGTGAGCGTATTATCACTGGGTTACCACTGAGACAGATAAATACCTGTATGTTATCCGCTGATCCCCAGGACTTGAGCTGATCTCCATCATCAGACCTTCTATCCAAGTCGCGGTCTCTAGATTTTGGCACGTACGCAGAAGATCTCGTAGCTCCAACACCTAGAAAGTTACTGAATGCCTCCGTTGTCTTTTTTACCCGCACATTCAGAGATCCTATACGAAGAAATCCTTCTTTTTCTGAAAAGGAATTATTATTAATTCTGCTAATACGGTTTTTAATGTGATGGAAGTTGTTGGTTCGAGCTTGGACGATCTTTTTTTCATAAGTTTTATAAGAAAAAGTGATTTTTTTGAGTGTATGTATATATATGTACATATGTATATGATTTTTTCGTATGCTCTACAGTCAGAATAGTTTGATGGATTTCCATATCTATAATAATATTCTAAAGAGGAAAGATTTTTTTGTTTGTTTGTTTGTTTGTTTGTAAGGAGTAAGCTCCGTGCTACTGAACCGATTTAGATGAAATTTGGTAAGAATATAATTTGAGATCCTGGGAGGAACATAGGGGAAATGGGAATGAAAGTTTGTATGGGGAAGCAACCTATGGACGAACCCGAGCGAAGCGAGGGTGAGTCATAAGTATATAATATATAGAAAACTAGTAAAACTGAGTTAATCTCGCCTAAATAAATACTACAGCCACTATATAAACTTGTTTCAGTTCAGGTATCTAAGACAAATTTGATGGTTGGCGCTTATTTTCATATGGCATTACCTTAACTTATTGCGACAAACTTAAAACTAACGTAGAAAAGTACGCAAACATATAAATAACATGAAATACGTGTTAATAACAACTAAAACGAAACGACTATTTAGTCAAATTAGTCACATATTGATTGTAAAGTTATTAACTAAAAGTTCGACTAAAAGACAATTAATACTACATACAAAAATAAACGTTACGGGACATGCACGTAAAACAACACAATTTCAACCTTATCCCCAACACATAGAGTATATTTTACCATATTTCATAATATACCGTTTTTAAGGACTAGATGTAAATTGCGTGGAACTATCTCAGTGGGAGTAGTTACGATATTCGATATACGTTGCATATTAATATTATTTGAAGAATCTGAAATACATTAATTTTTATAAATTTTAATTGATATTAAGATCTTTTAGGAATTAAAATTGGTCGAGAGATAGGTTATATGAGGTTCCGAGTTCGATTCTCTAGTCGGGCTGAAACAGTTATTGGGTTTTTCTTTAAAAAAATCCTAGTAGTAAGCTTAAGTTAGGCAAATGGTAAGCTCTGATTCTCATTCTCTCTGTAAAGACCAATATAATTTGAAAAAAAAAACATTTTTATAACTCACTAAGCGCTTCAAGTATTAAACATCTAGCTGATGTTAACGTCGTATTTAAATTTCGAGCGCAGCCGCGAGCAAACGTTATAATACATATAAAATTCAATGCAAGTCGTATTAGAAAACTGAACTACTGAAAAAAACTGAAAAAACTGAAAAAAATTGCATAATTGGTCCAGCCATTCTCAAGTTTGCGCTTAGCAATATATTTAGCGATTCATTTTTTATCATCATCAGATCATTACTTTCTTAGATTTATGCGAATTTTTTATATTTTAAATAAAACTATATTTTCGGATTTTTTCGCGGTTTTGATTTTTTGGTTCCAGCGTTTCCAATGCTTTACAGCGATCATGGTCACGGTCATATATCTGTCTCCCGTGACCACGAGTGCTGTAAAGTATTCGAAACGTCAGGAATCAAAAATCAAATAAATCCGCGAAATATTCGAAAAGATAGTTTTATTTAAAATATAAGATTATTATTTTATGGTATTAATTAATATGTAACAATTTAAATACTTACTTCTATAAGAGCCAGGCGAAAGCGACGTGTCCATATGCACTAAGTACTGTCTTGCTTTCTTCCCAGACCAATCCCTTACATTTGGATCGGCATCTGCAAATAGCAAAACAGTAAGTGTATTATTATTATATTCGATAAAACGATCGAAAATATGTTTAAAAATGATATACGCATTCACTTTATACAATAAAATATAGAAAGAGATAAATAATAATAAATAAATATGTTGGGATAATAACAAACAGCACTATCTAGTTCCATGGTAAGCTACGAGGCTTGTGTTATGGATACCAGATAGTTGATACACTACACATATATAACATTAAATACATACATATTATAAATATAAATACTCATTGACTGAGTACAAACATTCGTGCTTATTACACAAATGAATGCTCCCAGCGGGACTCGAACCCGCGATCGCTTGCATAGCAAGTAGGGTCAATACAAACTGAGCCAAACGTGTCGTCAAAAGTTGAGATGCATTTAAATTTAACGCCATCTAGTGAAATAATGATACATTAGGTTGTATTTTAAAGCCTTCACCTGGCATTAACTTTGAGGAATCTTTTCGTTCAATGGATAGATGTCGCTATTAAAAACAAGGTTTGATTTTAAATACATTTGTCCATACGAGCGACTTAATCTAGCTTCTCTCGGGTACGTTTTAAAAAGATATAAATAACTACTAGCATTAGCCATGTAAAAAATTTTTCGTGTTTTTTCCCGATGTTTTAATAAGTTATTCTGCTATTCATTAAGATAAATCCAACAAATCAAAGATCATAAAAATCGTTCTAGCTGTTCTTGAGTTATAAATGGTGTCACTAACTACTACTAACATATATAACACTATTTATATATAACTATTTTAACAATCACATAGTATATACTGATTGAAATTATGTAAGTGATCAGATATAGAAGTGAAGATACACAGTATATTATACAACAATACACACCTATTAAAATTATTTATATATATTAATATTTCGTATTTTTTTTCTATGGTAAATAATTATATTTGATAACTGAAAAATCAGCAATTACAGAAAAATAAATGATTCAATAAGCTTTAATAAAGCACACGCCCTCTTTGAATAATAACACACAATGTGTTTACAAACTCCTTTCTCGATATTACAATAGATGGCAGTAACAGTCACTATATAGGTAATTTACATTTTTTTTATTAGATGGCAACACAAAAATGTTATTAGTATTTTAAACTGGCGACTTACCCTCGCTTCGCTCGGATGCGTTTATAGATAGGTTTTAGTTTTTTTGAGCGAAACCCTAATACTTTTTCTAAAAGTAGCTTAAGTTATTCCTTATAACATCAGCTATTTGCCAGTGAAAGTCCCGTCGAAATCAGTCCAGCCGTTTTAGAAATTAGCCGGAATAAACTGAGAGACAGACAGACAGCCAGAAAGACAGACAAAAATTTAAAAACATGTGTTTTTCTCATATAATTTTATATGCATTTAGTAAAAAGCTTATATTTCGACATTATAAACATAGATTTCAATTTTATTTATCTGTATCTATAAAATTACATATATAAATTATTTTTAGTAGGCTATTTTATATATTTTATATACACGTTTTGTAAGCAAATGCAAAACGAAATTATTATTATACGTTTAATACAAAATTCGAAAAAAAGTTTAATAAAAATATTTCTTTATAATTATGTTACAGTTTCATCAAAATTGATACTATTTTAAGTAAACTAACAAACAAACTGTACTATTTTATGTTAAAATTAAATATAAGTAACTAATATACCTATACTAATATTATAAAAATGTTAAGTTTGTGAATTTATGAGGTTGTAGGGGGTAATCTCTGGATCTACTGAACCGATTTAGATAAAATTTGGTAAGAAGATAGTTTGAGACCCTGGGGAGGACATAGACTAGTTTTTATCCCAGAAATAATCCCTTAGGGGGTGAAAATGGGGATGAAACTTTGTATGGGGAAATAACCTAAGAATGAACCCGAACTACTTTACTCGCTAGTATACTATAACCATTAATAAACTCAGTTTAAGTACTGTACTACGGTACAATATTAAATCTATTCACCCCGCAAATAGAGAAGGGGGTGAGGGTAGTTAATTAAAACATCCACCGTATACTTGCCACACACTGCGTTTACATATACATAATTATATATAGAGGTATAAGTATGATTGTATTTGTATGTATGTCACTATATAAGTACCGACATTATAAATATCTTGATGCCTAATACTTTCTTAGACTTACGCGAATATTTGACACTGGCCACTCACTTTCGCTTCGCTCGGGTTCGCCTTCAGAAAAGCAAAACAAATCTATCCCACGGGAACCATACCTTTTTCCGGGATAAAAAGATTTTCCAACATAAAAAAAGGCACCTAGAGACAACTGAGGGAAGGGCGTGTAAGTCACTAGTATATAATATTATCAATTCTTAGAACAGTTCATCCATTTTAACTAATTCAATATAATAACATACATTTCTTGATATAAAAATAATAATATTTATTCTATATATACTTACTGTATACTTCAACTAGAAGTTTGTACACGTGTTCGTGGCGAAATTGCATGGCGATGTGTAATGGAGTGTAGCCCTGGAATATAAAACATTAACAAAATATTAAATAATTATTTTAAACTAGCACGGCCGACGGCTCCGCCCGTGTTCAGATGACCAAGAACCAAATTCTTAGATTTTACATATTAGTATACTCTTACATTGCAGTTTTTGTATTTTTCTCAAAAATGAGATATTTTCCTGCGGTAATAAGTATCCTATATGTTGACCTGGATAACCAGCTATCATCATACCAAATTTCATCAAAATCTGTCCAGTGATTTTCTCGTGATGTGATAACAGACAAACAAAAATTCTAAAAACTATAGATTCGGACTCTGTATCGATAATAATGTCTATTTCCATTAGATTTTCCAAAAAATATTTAATATACAGATTCGACTTAGTTACAATTTTATTATATGTATAGATTTAAAGAGGAAGGAGATGGTATTACAAATTAAGAGCGTACTTTATATAGATAAAAGTATAAAATAAATTGATTTTGTATGCTTGAGGTTCCTCTGTTTTTTCTTATCACTGAATGACTGTGAAGTCACCTTTGGCTCAGTTTGATGAGCACGAATGTTTGTACTCCAGTCGTGGGTGTTTATATTTATAATATGTATGTATTTAAAGTTAAATATGTGTAGTGTATCAACTATCTGCTATCCATAACACAAACCTCGTAGCTTACTATGAAACTAGATGGTGATGTATGTTAATGTCCCAATATATTTATATTTATTTAAGGATTGATAGAAAACGCACAGCTCAAAACTCTAGTTTTAAAAGCATGAAATATTGGAAAAGAGTAATAATTAAAAAAATGAGGGACGAATTTTAAAGGGAACTAATAGGGGATGAAAAGCTTGCATGAAAGCTCGTTATTTTAGAAAAACTTAAAGCTTGTTTTTAAGCTTTTATTTATTTTTATGCACCATGGGAAATCTAAACCAATACTTCTAATAATAAAAATTCTTAGAGTAACATATTTTAGCTATATAATATAGAGTTTCAATTTTTGTTACTTGAGCTCTACATTTCATCGTATTGCCTTCATCTATAGACTGGCTTGTAACATTTCCCCTCGTTCATAACGTTTATATTTGTATTAAATAACGGATTGATATTAAATTTGAGCGAATATTATAGCGTAACAGCTGTAAAGGGCGAGATCTGTAGGAATATTGTATTTCACCATACTATAACTATGTACTCACTAGTGTATCTTTTACATGACTTCAAGAAAAGACAATTTCAGCTTAAAAATAATTGGTATTTTTGTATAACGTGATTGCTTTAAAAATTTTTTTTGAAACTATAGATGATATATATATAACTAAGAAAAAGTCTATAAAAACAGGTGTTTAATGGTTTTTTTTATGGACAAAGTAAACATACTTAGGTATATAAGGTCTCATAGATTTAAAAAGAAACCTTCTAAAAGTATATTCTATTTAACATATAATAAAATTCTGAGTCGAATCTGTACATTAAATATTTTTTGGAAAATCTTATTGAAATAGTCATTATTATCAATACAGGGGCCCAATCTATAGTTTATTTTAGAATTTCAGTCTGTCTGTCTGTTTAGGAATGCATCACAAGAAAACCACTGGACAGATTTTAATGAAATTTGGTAAAATGATAGCTGGTTATCCGGGTCAACATATAGGATACTTTTTACTGCGTGAAAATATCTCATCTCTGAGAAATCTATACTAAACGTTATAAATGACGTTTAAAATTACATCGAAGACAATCATTACTAATTAATCTCATCAAATTATGCGAACTAACATAAAAAAATTACAAAAATTAAAACGTTCCCATACTAAATTAATACTAGAATCTACAGGTTGTCATAAAACTTACCCCATTCTGCGGAACGACGGCACATGAAAGAGAAAATAAAAGAATTTAATGCTATTGTATAAGGCGACACGTTGAATTTGATTGAGCGTTAAATAAGACGAATACGTGCGATATTTGTAACAAAGTGTTATATTTAATTTAATTTTAATATTTATGACAATAAGATCTATGATAGGTATATTCATGCTATATCATCACTAGCGACTCACTCGCTTCGCTTCGGTTTCGTCCCTAGACAAAAATAAATCTATCCCACGGGAACAGTAGATTTTTCCGGGATGATATAACGCCTATAGCCTACCTCAATAAACTGGCTATCTAATGCAAAAAGATTTTTTCTAATCGCATTAGTAGTTTCTGAGATCAGCGCGTTCAATCAAACAAATTCTGCCTCTTTATAAAAATTGCCTCGCCTTGCCTCTTTATAAATATTAGTATATATGATAATTTATCGTTTTAAAGGATTCGATAAAATAAAAGATATAATAGAAGGTTTTGGGAACAATGTGGTCGATCACTTTAATGAAATATTATAATTTAAATTAAAATAATACTAAAAATATATATGTATTTTAGTGCCGTTTTCGCCATTTCTTATGAGAACTCAGGCATTTTATCTAAATTAGGAATAGACTGATATCAAAACGTAAAAAAGTAGGTACCTCATACAATTGGTCAGAATTTTTTGTATTTCTACAAAACGCCATATATTCGGTAATTATTAATAACAGATTTTATTATTCATTTGTAATTAACAACTTATTCCCTTGCATATAAATTTCCTATAAGCACCATAAAAGATTCGACTCCAAAGGTTAGAAAATAGAAATAATACATTTAAATCAACACTTTTCATTGAGAAATTATTTTTTCTCTGGCAATGGCAGAAATCGACGATACTAGAGTTTTTCTATGAATATTAACGCTATAAAATTCAAACAGATTTTAGTTCTTTTAAAGCTGACAGATAGTTCCGGAGATGATTGCTATACCAAACCATAACCAATACCAAACCATAATTTAATAACAAAAACAGTAAAATTGCATTGAAAATTCAAAAATCTTAAAACAGTAAGTAACAGAGTATGATAGATAACTCACAGATCGTTCATTTACGATATGACGATGGATCCCAGCTAGAAGCTTCACCAAATTTTCGTCACCACGCTTACACGCCCAATGCATCGCCGTCTGCAATTCAAAGAATAGAACAAAAAAATTCATATAAGCACTCTCAGTGTTGAGATACGAGTACAGTTACATGGGTTTACCATCAATTAAGGCTTCATTCGCGCTTAAATTATTTATAAATCTACAAATAGGTATTTTAACTATAGAATTTTAAAAGAACCATGAGATTTTATTGCAATGAGCTAAAATGAATAATTATTCAGGTCTAGAACGTTGTTATGGAATTATATGTTAAACAAATTACTTTTGTAACAGACTAACATCGCACTCTCCAACCCATCCCAGAAAAGACAGGGTTAAAAAACTAATCAGCCTATATATATATATCTACTATGATAAATATAAAAGTTTGTACGTATGTATTTATGTATGCGTGCGTGTGTGCGCGTGTGAATGCACGCGCGTGTGTGTGTGCGTGCATGTATGCGTGTGTGTATAATTTTAACTCTTTGCCAGTAAAACGGCTGGGCAGATTCGTATGAAATTTCACTTAATACACAGATATACTAGGACCCTGGCGAAGCGAGGTTAACTATCTAGTAAATAATAAAATAACCTAACATATAAACTACCATTATAAGTATATCTATAGATTATAATAAAGCATTATAGCTTTAATGCATATAAAAAGCTTAGATCAAGTACAGATAAGTATTAACTTTGTACGTGTAGGGAACTCACAGCATATTCATATATGAATGTGTACATACACTGTACAGTGGACACTAAAGAATCTCAGACTTAAGAATTATATAGACAGAGTCCGACAAAAAAATTTTCAAAGGCAAAAATAGTAGCGTGATTTTGCTGTCTATACTACATTTTTAATATTCCATAGATCTTGTTTACTTTCTTCATATAATAAGGGAAATTACTTTAAGTTACAATTATAAAATAAAACTAATAAAATAAAAAATTAAATAAGGAAAATATGAACAATAATGAACAATAAAAAAATAAACCTAATTACATTAGCTTTCTTCTCCTTAAAAGAAAGATATCTTTTATATTTATCATAATTTTGTTTGTTAAATTTTTTGTTTGATTGTTTTCTTTTGTTTCTACGCATGTTAATAAATAAATATGTAAATAAATAAATAATAAAATCTGTTAGATATTTTTATTTACTAAAATTTATTTTCTTACCAAAGTAGAAATTATGCTGTCTTATAATATTTTATTTATTATTGCAGTTAAAAACCTATTTTTTATATATGTTTTTATATTTTATATTAAATACAAAGATTAAACAATTTAATGTAAAAAATCGATTTAAAAATATTATTTTTTCGGTAAAATTTTATCAACAGGTAACTAACTCTACTCACTACAAATGTCCCTAACTATATACACTGATGTTTTTGTGTGGCTTCGTGTCTAGTTCTATGATACAAACTCCGTCTGTGCTATCCCTTAGTGAGTGTACAATACATGCGACAGTACTACGAGCTAGGTAATGACGATAATTGTTACTCACGCTGGGTGACAATGTATGGGAGTCGATTAACGACTTGATGGCTTGAATCAATTTGGTTAAATAAATAGTGAAATATTCTTAATATATGTATGGGAGATATTTATAAGTACTAATATCATATAGACACTAGCGACTCACCCCTGCTCCGCTCGGGTTCGTCCCTACTTACGTTTTAACGTTTAGTATAGATTTCTCAGAGATGAGATGTTTTCTCGCAGTAAAATTAGTTATTTCTTTAAAAACCTGATATTATATAAAGAACTAGTAGACCCCACGTCTCCGCTCGCGTTTAATATACAAAAAAAATCTTTCGCTTTACGTTATATAGCTATGTATTTATACTATATTGTTCATACAAAAGTACTAAAATCGTGATTAAAAAATCGGGGGTGGGGGTAGGAAGGTGAAAAATACTATACGACCTATTCTCATATCTACCAAATATACAAAAAAAAAACATTAAAATTGGTCAAACCGTTTCGAAGGAGTGCGACCACAAACAACGTGACACGAGATATTTATATATTAGATAATATACCTGCTAGTAGTATTATAATACAAAGTACGTACATTAAAACTTTTTTACCAAAAATATTTAAAAAAAACATGCACTCTATCAAAACCGGATAATAAAACCGACAAAACAACTAGAACCAAACCAAGAGCCCCCATTCATATTCCCATAACCGATACACCCATACTGTTACATAATCAAAATTCGCACGGAAGCGTTACAACGTCCAAGACGATAATCGCCAAATAACATCAAATTATATGTATAAATATCTAAGCTTAACCTCAGAACACGATAGTCGGTAGAAACAAATTGCTTGATTGCTAGCCTTTTATTTTGTATGTAAAACACGGACGGACTTTATAATATCAAAATTACAGGCTCCATGATAAACGAATCGTATTAGGACGATTTGCATCCAGATTAAAGATTAATATTTTGTTCAAGGTGCCTGTTATTAACATAGTTATAGGAATTAACATCAACAGCGTTCATTTTAATTTTTGACTCTAACCGTTGGAGCGGTGAAGCAGTGTCGATACATGTTATCTCTAATACCACCGTTTAGATTGGGGGTCCAATTCACCGCCTTGCTTCGAATATTTATCTGTATAGGGACAGTGTTTTTTTATCATTATTTTTAACTAACGTTTCCGTTTTTATGTCATTATATAGCGATTGGACGTTTTGGAATAAGTTCGATCTTGATTTTATTTCAGATCTCATACATTATCGAGTTGTATGGTGAAAGGTCGTGAGAGATCCTTACAATTGTACACCTTTGGATAAATTCTAAAACGTATATTTATCTGCTACCCGCGGCGAAGCAGCGGGACAAGTTAATTTAATAAAGGCCCACAAATAACTTTTAATATTCAATATAATTGAATGAAAGGGTTTCGTTAAGACACGATTGTAAGAAATATTTAACACTGTTGAATGAATTTATACACATTAGTTATCAAAAAGTTTATTCTCTCGTGACCATGTTTGATGTAAAGCATTCGAATTGTTAGGAACAAAAGTCAGAAGGAAGTTGCAAAACAATCCGCAAAAATAGTTTTGTTTTAAACTAGCGATTCATCCTCGTTTCGCTTGGGTTCGATCGATCGTTCCCCAGATACATTTTAACGGTCAGTATAGAGTTCACAGAGATGAGATATTTTACCGCAGTAAAATGTATCCTATATGCTGACCCGGATACCCAGCTATCATCATACTAAATTTCATCAAAATCTATCCAGTGGTTTTCTCATGAAGTTTTCCCAGACAGACAGACAAACATTCGAAAAACTATAAATTCTGTCTCAGTATCGATAATAATATTACTATTTCAATAAGATTTTCCAAAAAATATGTAATGTACATATTCGAATCTCTTAGAATTTTATCACATGCTATGTAGCTTTCAAATATTCGCGTCAATCTAAGAAAGTATTTATACAATTATTATGTAAAAAATCAGTATTCTATAGTGAATCTATCTTCGCAATGACGAATTAAGCAGCTAAAAAGGTGTGATGAGCGTTTTTTATATGAAATATCAGGTTTTGAGATTGATATCGAATCTTTTAAAGTCCAGATTTCGTCCATACCGGTTTTCAGAATAAACAGAGCATCGTTTTATCGGGGGGCAGGTTACCAATCGCACGTACAAGTTGTAGGCGTGATCGTAGCTGATTCAGTGGTATGGCGGGATGTACCTAGGTCCTGTGCTAGAGAAATATGGTACCCGAGGGAGGCGGTGTTAATTTACAGCGACGATTTCAAAACGACGACCAAAATTGGTAGCAATTTCGTGTATTAAATGCGTCTCCGATATTCTGTGGAGCGCAATTTTCGGTGGCAGTAGATTCTGTGTTCAATAAACCTTGCTGTTTTTACCGGTGAATATGAATATTTTGTTTTTGTTTGTTATTTTACAAGCTGTGTGTTATTTCGAAAAGCATTTTATATGGAAATTTTAATTAAAAGAATGTTTACAGTAACTTTTTACTAAGCTATAAAGACATAAACAATATATTAAAACACTATCAATTCTAAATATATGATAATTCCCAAGTTTATATGTGATGATTTTGTACACAGTATATATTAGAAGTATAAAATATATAATAGACTGTAAAATATTAAGCTTTTGAAGTCCGATGAGCTTTATGGGGAGTAAATAATAATTATTCCTAAGCTTTCAACACATTTGACATCGGGCAATGATTTTATTTGTTTAAACCCGAAATTAACTGAGGGATGGGCGGGGGTGTGGCTTCATTTACATTCAAAATGTAGGGTAGCTATGTATATCGATTGAAATAAATGATATGTGGTAGCGTATCATAGCAACGGTGATGATAGTGCGAGTCATTACTTTCTATAATATTAGAGACACTATTGACTCACCCCCGCTCCGCTCGGGTTCGTCTCTACGTTTTAAAGTTTAGATTTTAGAGATTAGATATTTACCCGTAGTAAAAAGTATCCTATATGTTGACCGGGATAACCAGCTATCATCATACTAATTTTTTTTAAAACTGGTCCAGTGGTTTTCTCGTGACGCGTTCCCAGACAAACAGACAGAGAGACGAAACTTCAAAAAACTATAGATTGTTAATTATAACTAATTCAATCTGTATCGTTAATTATGACTATTTCAATAAGATTTTCCAAAAAATATTTCATCTACAAAAATATGTGATTAGAATTTTATTATAATATGTATGCATCTTCTATCTTCATAGATATAAACTAACATTACGTTTTTGATGGTTGTGTTGTGGCATGTATACAATAAAATCGATACTAGAATATCCGATTCGGAAATAATATCGATTCTGTATTATAACTTCATAGCCAATTATTTGTAATGGATTGAATTAAAAAAGAAACATTAATTAATCATATATACAAATCCAATTATATTTAATAAGATTATAATGGTTTTTTAAGTTTTATATCGTGCAAAGATAGTATGAGATTAATATTCAGACGAAACCACGGGCTAAAATG